GCACATAGCTTACTAGCTTTCAGCTAGTGAAGGCTCATAGCCGTAGCACACTGGGTGTATCGGGCGATGAGTAGTCGTTCGGTTGGGCATGTTAGGACTGCCTATTTCGGAGGGTATAGGATGATGCCTTCTCAGACACACCTTCCCGACGCCCCCTCCCACCAGCGAGGTCCTGCCCCCAGCAGCAGCAGCAGTCCTGTCCACACCGAGTACAGTAGCTACCTCGGTGGAAGGGGAGGAGGAGGAGGAGAGGGAGTCTGTAGAGCCCAAGATAATGCTCACTACCTCCATGGCTGTAATATGGAAAAATAGCGGGTGTGGGAATCGAACTTGGGACCTTCCTGATGGGGGCGAGCATTCTATACGTTGTCAGTATCCCTCCGAGCGATCATACGGTCTCATTAAAGAGCTGGTGGAAGTGGTGCCGGGCCTGCAGTACTTCCGGAAAAAGCATTTTCCTATCACCAAAATTTGCGACTTTGCCAACAACAGAGGATTCACAGCAGTCGTGGTAAGCTAGGGCGGACTTCCTCACTCACCAAATGTGACTGCCTCTCTATGCGTGGTAGAATGGCTTAGGGGAAAATGAAATTCGCGTTAAGGCTTGTATGGACTAAAAGTGTCCCTACTACAGGAGGTCTCAGTTTGGTCATTCGCACCTGCTACTGGCTGAATCATAGTGCAATGTGTGGTATCGAATGGCGGCATTGACGTGGACAGTTTAGATATGCTCATTGGATGTGTAGGTATTATCGGAGGATAGGAAGCACGAGCCATCCTCGCTTCATATCACCAGTCTACCTGAAGGCCCTACTAGCTATTGGAGGCTAACTAGTTTGGAACTGGGAGCTGATATGAAGCATGGAGCTACATGTAATAGGTCCGGCGGGTATAGTGGGATGCCACTGAAGGTGTATTCAGGTAACCCGGATGACCGTCCTGAACTGCTGTTGAATGGTTTTGGTACGAGGCTTGGTCACAGAGTAGGGAGGCAAATTGGAAGCCTTTTCGGTAGGCATATCTCCTTGCACCTTACTGCAGATCAGGGCATCTTGTTGGTGGCGGTGAACGGTCGTTCCCAGTTGGTGCAGCGATTTGTCCAACGAGACGTTAACCTCCTGAATAGTTACCCGAAAATTCACGTTCCGTCGCTACGTATCTTCTTAGTAGTGGCTATCATCGTTACATCATAATTCACAGTATCGGATTTGCTCGTCCATACATGTTCGATCAGCTGGCTTTGGTCAGGTGCTATCCAGCCGGACTTCAAGGGCCGAAGAGTAGTCGCATTCCACAACCAACGGGACTTCGTATTCTTCCGCCACTACCGGTAGTAGTTGATAATTTCGTGGCGCGCGGTCAACAATATATCAGCACTTAGTCGTGATATCTCAGGTACGTCTTCCGAGATCTCGAGAGTACCGACAAGGATGATCGATGTGCCTTGCAAGAAATAGGCCCCCGGTTCACGCTCAAGCTGAGGTCATTGCAGCTAGGCCTGTTCGCCAAACGTAATGGGGAGGATGAGTTCGAGCGCATCAATTAATATACAATCACTACGTATCGGATTAGTTCGATATAGACGCCTCTTCCTACGATGGTCGAGTTTATCTGATGCCAATGGAGGTTGTTCGTGTCTGCATCCTTCCTCTATTAGGTACGGGGGAGTATGAGTATGTATGGAGACCCGACTCTCAGGTCAGCCGGAAGGTCTTTGCTCTATAGTTCTCCTCATCACATTACCAACGTTTCTTTTCTGCGCACTTAAGGAGTTATCGTGTTAAATGTAGTGGAAAGTTGGTATAAATACATGAGCATCTCGATGATTGAACACAAATCGCGTTACGCAATAGTAGTAGAAGAATCTTGGTATTGTGAACTGGTGATGCTGACGGAAGGTGCAGATTGAATTATGACGTTGTCGTCTATGACGCTGTGAATGTGTGGGAGGATCTGTGAGTGCAACTCCACCAAATAATGGCAAAAACGGAATCTCAATATTTCGATAATAATCACTGATAGCTGTCCATCATCTGTGTGATGAGAAAGTAACTCGAAAACTCGGTGCAACTTCGCGACTCCATCATCCTTTTTTCGCTACCAATCTATGCATCACCCGAGGTGATAAAAGCGCATACAGCAGTGCTTTATGTGCCGCGATAGTGGACATTCTGTATTTGCCATAGAAGTGTAGCGTATATTATCAATAGTCTTCCTGTCACAAGAAGATGGCCCTTATACCAGACTACGAACGCGAGGTATTATCATCTTCAACGAGAACGGGCACGACTCGAGTAGCAACGTATGTTACATGATACTGACTGCTAGCAGGGAAATGCCGAATCACACTGTAAATTGACTTCTCATTCAGAAGTGTCTCGTCTCCGCATAGCCATCGTAGAGGGGCCGCGTTCGCTCGGTAGTGCCTGAGGCTGAGGTCGTCGATCATAGCCGTGCATTAGGAGCCTACCCATACGCCGTTCAGAGGAGGGGCCTGCGTTGTTGAGCTCCTCTACCATGAGGGTAGAGCTCTGTGGGGGGTCATGACCGTTGGACGACGTGACTGGATGCCTGACACCGCAGCATGTGGTAGCGATAAGTATTGAAGTAGCGTACCCTAGACCCAACGAAGGAGGCATGCCGTAGCCCTGTCGTCCGAAACCGACCTTGATCAGACCGGATACCTTGTCGCCGGGCAGCTGATCAGTCCAGGAAGTGGGCAATTTCATGGCGCAGCGGTCATTCTCACCAACATCTGATCCCTGGCCTGTCTGATCATATGCCGTGGATCAGCCAGCTCTATCTCCCTATGTCGCAGTGTCTGAGGAGGCAAGTGGTTAGAGAAGGTGGGCAGAAGATGGTACGAGACCTGCTGCATAAGTTCCATCTTGCTGGCCATCGCTAACAGCTTCGCCTGCATTGTCTGATTGTCCCTAAACAGCACGCATGCACACCCCTGCTGCCCCTTCTCCACTACTTCGCCAATATTTGGTTGTCACTAGCAAGCTGTGATGTCTTGCCGTGATGGTATCTCATCTCCAGCATAAGATGCTTCACGTCTTGTTGCGCGTTCAGCAGCGCTTCCTGAAGACCAGCAGTCCCCCATCTAGAGGAGTGCTTTTTCCCTAAGACCTGAAGGTCCTTGATTTGTCTATTAGCCCTTTCACCCGCGACCAAAGCAGTGTGGCCTGAGTACCGGCATCCCTCCTGCCCTCAAGGACCGATCCCACCTGATTTCCCCCCAGCCCTAGCAGCAGCCTCATTCTGCATCTTCACAATCTCGTTATTGAGCTGGTGGATGATATCATTCTGTTGCTTCATCACCTACACCTCCACGCCTGGGACCTCCAAAGACCATCCCATCATCCGTACCGCTGCGGCGTTGTTGAGCGGACGGTCAGCGACTGACGACTTGTACATCTCTGCTTCGGCCTGCTTAGCCGCAAGCAGCCGTCGCAGTCCCTCCACGTCCGCCGATTCAGTGTCAGTACCACTCCTCCGCGACATCTCGGTAATAGGAGATCTCCGCTCTCTCTGTTTTAGTACATAACCTACCAGCCGGTCACCGACCACAATACGGGTCTCTCTGTTTCTCCCCACCTTTCGTTTTCAACCGGCTGATCTCCATTTTAGTGGCTTCTAATTCGCCCTGTAGGCATCCCCGACGTATCTCAGTATCAGTGAGGTCCTTCTGCAACTTCACAACAATCTGAGCCTCCTCCCCACGGCTATTCAGCTGCTCCTCGAGCCGCTTCAACTCCTATCAATGAACTACTACTTCGCTACTAATGTAAGATCCCCGTTAGTGATACCTCCTCCTTTGCCAGAAGCGCCGTCTGCAACTGCTGAACCTGCAGCCCGAACAAGCCTTGCGGTTCACTAGTGTTAGCCGCCGTGCCGCCGGTGACCGCCTCCAATAGGTCTTCTGTATCGGCCACATAGTCCTAATCCAAGAGTCGACGACGCCGAAATGACCCCTCCACAAACTCCTAACCTGTATAAAGTCTATCTCCTTCTGAAGAGTCCTCATAGTTTTTATTAATGGATGCATAGCATCGTCGGAGCCTACTCCCACTTGATCTACCCCATCACCATCCTGACCAGATATGCATACCATAATGAAGGATAGATCTGCCGTACTTCCTTCCCCCCTCCCCCATCAGCCTCCGAGCCGTTGTCATTCTCCTCCTCTTCTACGACCGCCTCTTCAGCAGCTATCCTCTTCTGCTCAGATTCGATCTCTTGTGCGAGACCGGTGGCCATGACGATCGAGTTCACCACTTCCTCCATCGATGTTATCATCTCTTCCGCCTTCTCTTGCGACGGCACCATGTCTGTCTGGTCCCCCACGTGGAAACCAATCTGAGGGCCAACAATCCCACTATATACTAGGCCGGTTCCTACTCACCTTGACAAGGTCCCTCAGAACCCTATGAGCCCTTCTCGCCTCCACATTTGCCTCTGTTGCTTGAGAGTTGAGCTCTTTGATCCGACCCTCTAGGTCTGCTAGTCTGAGCAATATCGGATGCCCAGAAGCCTCCCCAGCACTTCTTCCTCCTTCCTAAACCATTATTGTGGCTTCACGAGTTGGTACTGTCTTCAATACCTCCATTAGCTTCCCTCCAGCAGCACTCTGGGGCATCACTTTCCTCTCCAGCAGTTCCGCAGCCCGACCCTCCTCTTCCTCTGCATACGCTACTACTTCCATCAGAGTCTCACAGATGCCTGATCGAGACCACAGGCTCATACTAAAGGTGCCCCCCCACTGCGATGGGTCAAGTCCCTTGGACTGGGATAGACGAGTAGTGGCTCCTGCTATATTACGCTCCATGGGTTCCACTAGACTTATGGCATTGTTAGCGTTGATGGTTCCTTTTCGTCGGAGCTGCTCCTGTATGAGGTCGGCCTGTGATGTCGCCTTCTGAGCTACTCCGCCGTCGTTGCCGATGGCAGTAGCTGTTGCTGCTATAGAGGCGGAGGTTCCATGTAGAATACTGAGCTCTGCTTCCAACTCTTGTATACGTTCAAGCTAACGGTACGACGAGTACACTCTCCAAGGATCGGACGTAGATTCTACCATGTCTCCGGAATCATCACCCGTTGCCCCACCGACTGTGAGGACGCCCAAAGCCTTCAAGTGGCACAAGTCTTGGTCGGCCTTCTCCTTGAACAACCACGTCTGGAGGGTCTCAGAGTCTGATACTCTGAGCTCGCCTCTCTCTTGGAATGAGAACAGGCCCGAACCCTCATGCTCTCTCATAATCAACTTGTAAGTCTCATTGCCGACATGTGGGTGGGAGGGAACACCCGTTTCAGCGAGCCACTCGGCAATCTGCACCCCCGGTCCGAAGAAGGCGTACTGTGGAGCCTTGGCTCGGCCGCCGATGACACCAGCATAGGCCAGGCCTGTGTTTACGCCTATTTTGAGCTTCATGGTTTGCCCAGTGCTGCCGATTTTCAATTGCTCGGCTGAGGAAAAAATACTGGAACCGAGAATCGAACTCGGGACCTACTGCGTGTTAGGCAGTCGTCATAACCAACTAGACCATTCCAGCGATGAAATACCCACACTCACCGGGAGCAGTTATCGCACGGGAACTCACCCTTCAACAGCTTGCTAGCAAATCTCAAGGCCACTTCTGTATGCTCATCATTCGTCGACTCATGCCCGCACACAGCCAGAAATCGCTCCCCATTAGAAAGCACAGAATACATCCCATTGTCTTTACAGAGCTGGTCGAAACTATTCGTCATTTTATTCATCAGAACAACCAATTGTGTAACCGGCACCGCCTGACCAAGATCCCTTCCATTACACCAACCCGAGGCTTCGTCGTCAGACCCACCTGCGTGATGAGAGGAAACTGATGCACAACCGCCGCCACGCAGCTGACACATTCCAACTTATCCGCAATCATTGTGGCACCTCCCCTTAATCGATTAATGATGAATTTTGGCATCACCCGGCCCATCACCTGGAATGAAAGAAGACCTCCCACCCGAGTCAAATTTCAGGATGCTAACACCTCGTAGTTGACTTTCGCCTTGTTCTCATGTTGAACATGATAACGGTTTCGTATAAGGGCGAAAATGTGGTCAATGATGATGGGTAGCTTCTCCTCTGTGACAGGCTTCGTGTAGACTGCTGTAGCCCCTCTCCGTATAGCCTCAAGGTGACTAGACGTCTCTTTTGACTTAGTAATCACCAGTATCGGTACCTCGGAGGGAGCGCCGTCGCCAACTACCATGCCACTGTTGTAATCTCACCTCCGGTGGCTTCTCTCTCCTGAACTGACTCAAGAAGTCCAGGCCGGGCAAGTTGCCAGGCAGTTCCGTCTCCATAATCACTATATCAGGCATCGGGTGCATATTGAAGTAATCCAAAGCCGCGAAACCATCGGTAACCGTATTGGTCTTATAGGCTCGATCCACCAGCATTGGGCGCAGTATCGTCGCAGTGTCATCGCTGTCATCAATAATCAACACTTCCTTCACCGCGAGCTCGTTGATGGTGTTCTGTAGATCTTCCAGGTCATCTCCTTCGCCAGCTACACCCTCGTCAGCCATAACCTAACAAGGTCCGCTCAGGAGGCGGTGTCGATAGGAATACCATTTTCTGTGTCAACTCCTTCTTCTGAGCACGCTTCTTGCTTCGAGCATCCACCACTTCACGAGCGTTGGACACCAAGTCAATGAAGAATGTGGCTGAGGGAGAGCGGTTCATAAACGAACTCCTTCACTACGACATCAGCAACTGCAGCATTCAACGACACCAAGGCAGGTCAAGAAGGCTGTGTGATTTCTATACAGTGGGATGAACTCCGGCTGGTATATTCTAACAGAGCCTGGCGATTCAGAATATGATAGTTAGTTCGTCTGGATCGTTTCCCACGGTGAGAAACCGCGAACCAGTTTTCGGTTCGACGCTCGTGCATAGTCACAACTAGTGAGCGTCGTAGCAGGTCTGGGGGTCCGGCTCTTACTCCCTCGGCCCGGCTCCGACTCGCACCATAATCTTCCACCATGCAGATTGATAACTTCATTCGATACTGACAGCCCCAAGCCCAGACCCTCGAACCTGAGGGAGACTCGAGTACTCACGAGGGGGGAGGGGGACGAAAACAGGATCGGGCCAGAAGGAGAGAGAAGTCGAACTGATGGATCGAATTGCTTCTCCATGTCGTTCTCATTGCCGAGGAGTTGATCAGAATGAGATCATTGATAATAGCGAGAGAATGCCGTCTCAAATGGAGGTAGCTCACTTGCGATTTTCGTGATCGTCATCCTCTTGCTCAAACTCTGTGAATATTCGTTTCACATTGTCATCAGCAATGCCAATACCCGTGTCTACAATCTTAATTAGTACCTAAAAATGACATCACCGAGGATCGAACCCGGGATCTCTTGCTACTCACCCCTCTGGCCTTGCCCTTGGTGATCACCTTCACTGATCCCTTCGATGTGAATTTGCACGCGTTATTGACCATAGCCGACATCACATAGTGCAACCTGATTCACGCCGTCACTGCGCCACAAAATTCTCACTCTACAGTGTGGCCCAAGGCGTTATGCAAAGTAGTACTTACAACGCCTCCAATTTGTGAGAGTTCGAAGGTTAAATTTGAGTAATATCAACATGATGAAATGTGAATCGATTGACACCAACGTTTTAGAAGCTTTCCAAAGTCTATAATTCTCAAATTGAAGAAAACCACCTGGAAAATCCATAACTGTTTGGCTCACACTCTAACTCCCCGGCCCAACGACAACGGAATCACAGTGTTCAGCTTCAATGCTCATCACCTAACCCTCAATAGACCACACGTCTCTATATGCCCCTCACTGAGTCCATTCCCATACCGACGATGATCGAGTCGAAGTAACAGTCGAGCGCACTTACCTCTCCTTGTCGCCTTCAACCTCAGGGCATGCGGGGTCCGGTATGAAGTCTAGATCGACCTTGTCCTTCTTGATCTTCCTTCCTCTCTTGTCCACTGCCTCCATCATCTCTCCACATACTTGCTCACATATCTCGTTCACCTTAGGCAATCGTCACGCGCCACGAAATTGGCCCAAGATGCTCCTACATTAACCATACCAAAATTCAACTGCATCTTCTTCGCCTTCAACGCCGCTATGTCCATAATCTCATTCACCAATGCCAACAATCTAACCTAATTTCCGATAACGAAAAAAACTTCGCTCCGCTAAGAAATTCCCTCCCCAGTACTGCACAGTTATTAATAATATCCAAATGCTTCTTTCTCCCCGGATTGGGCTCTGTCATCCTGAGCGATTCCGAGAGACCAATGACGCCATTCAGAGGAGTTCCTAAAACAGTGTAGGTCTTTGGAGATTAAAAACAGCTACCAGAGCTTACTGAGCTCATGATTCACTGTTGCCATGAAGCTATCCTTCTTATGCTCTAACTCACATATCTTGGTGCAGTCTCGTAGTATAGCACATAGCTTGTAGTCGCCAGGATCCGAGTCGAAACTGAGTGAAACTGTACACAACTTTTCAATCTGAAATTCAACAATGGAAAGAACAAATTAGATGAATGAAATTTGATTTTCGACGAGTGAAAGGAGTTCTTCACGAAATGAAAGTTCAAATTCGAAACGAAAGTTCAAATTCGTAAATGAAATTTATGAGTTCGGAAACGCAAGTTCAAATTCGTCGAACACAAGACCAATTCCGACCAATCAAAGCTCAGCTACTACTACTACTACTAGCTATGATCGCGGAGGCTTACAGTATCGATACGAACAACGAGCTTGGAGTAACCTGCCCATCCTTGTGCTTCACTTCGACATTCCTACTCTCGTCCACGTTTATCTCTGAGTTGGGACACTATCATACCACTGCTTTCCAAAATCATGTCCTACTCGGGCGTCGAGTAGGGTCCATCGCCATGGCCTCGTCTGCCTTCTTCACGAACTGCTGTAGCAACGAGTCGTGACTCACCGCCACTCTGTCGGGCATGAGCATCTTTATGTCGCGACCGATGAGCTCCTCAGCTTTGAACCTATCAGGAATATCTTTCTATGCTCTTCCATTCCTCACCCTTACCCAGTCCATGCCTCTGATTGGGAGTTGCCGTATACGATCTTCCCTTGGCGGTCCGTTAGAATGACCAAGTCGTTGGATATCTCAGCGAAGGAGTCGATACCGCGCCAGAATGCATTGTTCTGGCAGTCCACCATAGGGGAGGGAAGAGGAAGGTATCCTGAGGTCCAGCATGCAAGATACAGAATAGGTCAGGCATACACTATTGGTGAACAATACCAAGAACCTCTACAGAGAAACACTGCTGACCCTAAACCAGTACAGAGTACATATACAACGCTGTCTCACTCACCGTATTCTCGAAGAGCCGCTCTCTATGAATGGCTATCGTTACTTTCAGCTCAGTCTGTATGAACTAGCATTAGTCTACAAGGTGCAGTCTATACATCTTGCGCACTCATATTACCTTGCATTTCCTCAACGGTTCCTTATTTCGTTCGGTAGGGGTCTCCAAGAGTCCCTAGGGGCCCACGCTTGCTCTATGTTTTCTCTATGGCTTCTGAAATTCCTCTCCGCCTTTGTATCCTTAGGTTGCGTTGGAAAGATACAAAATAGGTCAGCTTGTAGACTTTTCTGTCGCGGTAGATATTTTTACTTTGGTGTATAGCGACTTGAATTTATCTCTAATTCTGTACTCACCCATGAGGGGGCCCATTAGAGTATCGATAACCCTTCTAGCGTTAGTGTAGGACATTTTGGGGTCCCTTACACACCATGTCCGACCAGCCGCTCTACGATGAGTTCGGCAATTACATAGGGCCCGATAGCGATGTTGACGACGCCTCTGATTACGAGAGTAGTAGCCTGACCTTCTATCCATACCACATTTCCGTCACTTCTTCTTGGATAGGCTCTGCTGGAGGCTCCGAATACGGCGGGGAGGCAGCCGCGGCGGCTAGCCAAGAGGCAGTGCCGATGGACACCACCGAAGACGGCGCCCCTGTCGAGCAGAGGATCGTCTTGGCGGAGGACAAGAAGCATTATCCCGATGCCGATGAAGTCTATCCAGAGGCTGAAGTCGTATTCCAAGTAATAAGGTCTCAACGCACAGCGAAGATTTCGGATGGCATGGTATCTTTAGGATGAAGATACCCAACCGTTGACCCAACCCATCATTGCCCCTACAAAGACCTTTGACTTTGATAAGCTGGAGAAGGAGGTACTACTACTCCTCCCTGCTATCCCTCTATGACTCGTACGGCTGCTTAGGTCCCCGAGCTGGTTTATGATTATCATTTCCTAGCGGGTCTGATGGAGCACCCCAGCCTCATCAGAAACGTCGCTGTTGTCGGTGGCCTCCATTCGGGGAAGACTCTGCTGTGTGATTTGCTGGTCTCCCACACGTGGGCTGACAGGAATAAGAAGCTCGGGAATCTCGATAAGGAGGTCAAATACACCAATTTTAGAGGAGATGAGAT